TGTCCAAGCGCCACGGCCCATCCTGTACCTGCAGCGTGGTCGCTTACGCAGGCAAATTCTTTCGGCTTGTATGCTCCCGAGCCGGGCCGCACTACGCAGGCACCTTTGGCTTGTATGCCAGGACCTGAGCCACACGGTCCGTCTTGAAGGTGTCAGCCCAGCCGGCATTGTTGCTGTGTGCCTGCAGGTTTACTGCGATGATCTTCTCGTTGATGGGCGTGGCGGCCTCCAGCACTCGCTTCTTGCCAGTGACATCCCCCACCGTCAGCTCGAAGTTGCCAGCCGCATCTTTGCGGAGCAGCCCGGAGAGGTCAAAGGCACCGGAGAACTCATGGGAGGTGGCCCTGCCATGCACGCCAGCCACCGAGCTGACGCTGGCCAATTCGCGAGTGTTTTGGCTACCGCCACTCTGTGCCACGAAGAAATACTTCATGGGGACACCCACTTTGGCCAGGAACTTGCGCTCGCCGTACAAGTTCCCACCATCCTCATGGATCACGAAGTAATCCTCCCCGTTCGCTGCAGCAATCCACTCCATGCCATCCACGTCCTGAAGGACAGGCTTGCAACACACAACCCACGAGCCCAAACCCCACCCCTAACAACTCTCGGGTCCTCGAAAGTGGTCTTGTCCCTGCTCCTGTCGTGCATCATGGTCTGGTTGTTGCCGTCCGCACGGAGGCCAGCACCGCCCAGCTCAATGAGGTCGACGACGTCGGACTCGGGTTGATGCACCGTGTAGGTCGCCGGGATGGAGGTCGGCACGCCATCTGACAAAAGCGTGGGCAGGTCCTGGAAATCGTAGATGCCGAAGTAGCCTGCCGTGGAGCCCTGCAAGACGCGCTGGCCGCCCCTGGGGTCTGGCGACACGTGCTCCGTCTTGGCCCCACGACTGTCCTTGCCGTTGGAATTCCAAAAGCACCAGCCGTCCGGAGCGCCCTGAGGAGCATCCTGGAACTCCCAGCTTCCGTCTTTTTCGAAGCCCTCCACCACACCCCGCTGCGCCTGCCAACGAAGCTTGTAGAAGGCACCGGTCACGGTGTCACCAGCAGAGGCTGACTTGTGCCAGCTGTCTCGCGAAGGATTCACAGCGTTGCAGTCCACCGCGAAGCCATAGAGCGCACCATACTCGAAGCCGTTCCTGGCCATGAAGTCCGTGGTCTCGGCATTGCCATCCTTGTCAGTGTTCTTCTTGCCGATGTAGAGCTTCGTAGGCACGATGTCTTGCGGATACACGTATGGATTGCCGTCCGTCCTGGTATACGCGGCGTTGCGGGCGGCGAGCACAGCTGAGTCTTCAGAGAGCCCAAAAGCACCGTTGTAGCCTGAAGGCACGAAGGCCACGTAGTCTCTGTGGCCGCTGTTCACTTCCACCACCTTCTCATGTCCACCGAGAGTGAAAGCCGCTGTGGCCCAAAGCTCGCCTGTCGCCAGGTTCAAGACATGCACGGGCAAACCAATGGGCATGGAGTCCCTGGGGTAAGCGATCCACTCTTCGTTGGTGATGAAGAGATCGTCTTCAACGCCCATGCCATTTCCCCACTGGTGCCTCACCTCCAAGTGTGCGGAGCAGAGGGACTGCATGAGCCAGTCAGCCTTGCTGGGAGCTGTGGCGGTGCTCCCGACGATGTAATTGCCGTTCACGTCCACGTTGCTCTCGTGCACGTTGGAAGTGGTGGGCTGGAGGCCATCGCCCGTGCGATTCCGTGGCCCCACAAGCTCCCGCTTCAGGTTGTAGGCCTTGCTCACGGCGTTGCCTGCTCCTTTTACCATGCCCTGAGCCTTGGAAGGCGCGTTGTCGTCCATGAAGCTGGCCAGCATGCTGCGATCGTAGTCGATGTAGTGGATGTGGGAGCCGGTGAAGCTGGCACTCTTGCTGTTCACCACCCAGGGGAAGGACTCCGGGTTGGATGTCACAAGCCTCGGGGCACACACATGATTTCTGTTCCTTGCTCTGCAATCTGCAACTACCCCCCGGCCCGTGTCTTTATGCGGCTCATGCGGCTGGCCATATGCTTCGCTCTGGTAGACGAGCCGGACGGTGCTAGCATCCTTCAGGTATGCCCCTAGCCCGTCTGGTACGCCTGCCGGTCTGGGATGGAAGATCACAAGGGGGAGGGTCGGGAGGCGGAAGGTATGGGCAGGGCCCACAGTTTGAACAATACAACCTGCCTGTCAGCATGGAGCCCGTCGTGGGATCGACCTCGCCCACTGTAGCCAGCACCTTGATGTTGCCATGTGGGAAGTTGGTGTTGCCGGCCATACCGTCCACCAAATAAGCAGCATTGTTTCCTGCATCCGAAGCCTCACAGATAGGCTGGTCATGAAAGCCCACAGGCTTCACAGCAGCCATGTGGGCACAGAACTCGACCGGGAACTGAACGCCATCCACCTGCGACAGCAGCTGCATGGCCTTCTCGCAGTGGCACACCCCCACCGGGCTGCCAGACTCACAAACGGAGTTGCTGAAGCTGCTGCCTTCGCTGCTGCTGAAGTCCAGAGCCCTCTCCGACTCCCCACAGCAGCTCTGGGCTTGGTAGAAAGTGCGGATGTTGCCACAGGACATTCCATGGCTCTGGGCATCTGCACCCGTCGCCACGACCAGAGTGACCACAGCAGTGACAAAGGAGGGGCGAGCGGCTAGCAAAGGCAGAGCCAAGGCCATCCAAGCTGAGTTGCGACCTCCACGATTGACGTCCACGTCTTCCGCGGTTGTCGAGGCAGGGCACAAATCCAGGTGAGGATGGTTTGGGCACTGGCCCATCACTGAGCTGGCGCTAAGGCATACAGCCAGCATACGGCTGAGCATGGTCGCGGCGGCTATCGGGCAGAAGCACTACAAGCTCTAAGCATCAAACGCTCACGAAAGCATCAGAGTTGGCAACTGCAACACTGGCAGCCGTGCTGGCTGGATGCGGAGGTACGGCACCTGACCCGAGACGACGAGTCAGAACGCAGGTACTCGGGTGAACGGATGGGATTTCTGCTTCCTCGGTGCGCCTTTCTACTTATCTGCGTCTCCATCGTTGTGGTGAGGACCCGAAGCCCACCTGCGCCTGGCGGTAGCCAGCTCGCAGCTTTCGAGCTCGCTGCCGGGGGCCGTGATACCATGAGCCACTCAG